AGGTTGCACGTTTTAGCAGTAGTTGCAATTAATTTCTTAGGGTTTCTTTGTATATAATAGACTAAAATTACGCCTATTCTGAAAAACTCGAAGTTGGTGTTGTGTGTCGATTAGTTGTAGTTATCTGTAACGGGTCGAGTCCTATTAGACTGCGCACGCAACTACAACGCGCCCACCGCGCCAAAAAGGCTGGCACAAGATATCAGAGCTGCTGATATCGTTGCGTAGTTGATACATAGATAGCCACGCTATCTGTACTGTAGCGGGCTACCTAGCCCGTTACATTATCTATCTACTTGGTACTATGGCTCCTAATACTAATTCTTACACCCGTGTCTTAATTATAACGTTAAAGTCACCTCCTATTAGCAAGTTAACGTCACAGATCTTAGAGCTAACTAGTGTTAATCCTTGTATGGTTAATCGTATCTATAGTAGAGCTATCGCTGCTAGCTTTAAGCCAAACGTTCTCCCTCTTAAGATCCTTCCACAGCACGTTCAAGATGCCCCTCGCTCTAGTAGGCCTGCTAAGCAGACAGAGGAGGTGAAGGAGCAGATATTTTAACAAGTACGACGCGATAGATATAGATGAGAGAAGAGCTGCGCTGACCTTGCTAGTGCGCTTAGTCTCTAAGGAGTCAAAATCTCTGCCTCTACTGTCTAGAGGGTATTAAGAGAAGCGGGATACAAGAACACTAAGCTAATAAGGAAGCCTAGGTTAACATAGGAGATAAGAAGTGCTTGTCTTAGATAGGCAATTAACTATAAGAACTAGACGTTAGAGGACTAGAAGAATGTTATTTAGATAGACGAGACGTCCATAGTAATTAACTACTAACGTAGGGGCTATAGGATCTAGAGAAAAGCAAACAAGAGAGTAGTTAAGAGCTGTATCTATAAGAGGTAGAAGGGATACTCTAAGTTCATGTTCTAGGGCTGCTTCTCGTATAACAAGAAAGGTCTATGCTATATCTACTAGCTAGAGACAAAGGCAGAGAAAGAGGATGCTGCTTAGAAGATTAAGCAGCTAAACGCTAAGCTTAAACCTCTATAGAGAGAGGAGTGGGAGCTGTCAGAGTCTATAAGGAGGACAGGGCTGCGCAACAAGCCTGGCAGAAAACCTCAATAGAGATGGACAGAGAATACAGGCAAGCTGGTGCGTAAGCCTGGAGGTGGTATAGACTAGTGGAGATATTAGAACTATATTCTGATACCAAAGCTGATTCCTTTCGCCAAAGAGTGCCTCCAAGATAGACCTCAGACTATCGTGATGGAAGATAAGGCACCTGCCCACACCCACCACTATTAGAGTGTGATCTATAGTCTGCACGACGTTGAGAGACTACTCTAGTGTAGCAACTCGCTAGACTATAACTGTATTAAGCCGTGCTGGTTCTATATAAAGAGAGAGACTACGAAGAAAGGAGCTCCACAGTTAAGGGCTGAGGCAGTTATTATTATTATTATTATTATTATTCCATTAGAGTCTATCTGCAGTCAGTGACTATGTAAGACTTTGGCCAGAGGCCGTTCTAGGTACAATTTGTTTAAAGTGAGAGTGTTTTCTGTATAGTACTGCTATTGTGCTGCGGTTTAGTCGCTTCTAGCTGCGCTTAAAGCGGACTCCAGTTGCTAAAGAGCAGTTTAGTAAACAGGAAGAGATGTTAGACAGCAGGGCTGTCTTCCAGCGAGCTCTTTTAGGGCTAAGGAAAGTAACTTAAGAAAGTTTGTTAGTTATTATTAGTTTAGGTAGTGTCTCTCTGTTCTCGCTTATTTTAGTTATTCTTGTTCTTGGTCGTAGATGCCAGCCTCTA